TTAAAAAAAAATATATTTTTATTGATTTCAGAGAGGAAGGGAGAGGGGGAAAGAGATACAGACATCACAGATGAGAGAGAATCATTGATTAGCTGCCTCCTGCACATCCCCTACTGGGGATGTGCCCGAAACCAAGGTACATGCCCTTGACCGGAATAGAACCTGGGACCCTTCAGTCCACAGGCTGACGCTCTATCCACTGAGCCAAACCAGTTAGGGCCCTGGCAAGAGCTTTAGCTGCCGATGAGGGTTCGGGTAGAGAAACACTGGGTTAGTGGGGAAGGAGATGGGGAATTCAATGTTCTGACTCCCGTCTCCTCCTTCTCTCCAGTCCCTCATTGTCTCCCACTGGCTGGACTCACTGAAAACCTGAGGCAAGGGACCCGGGTGCTGCAGTCAGTCATAGAGCACCTCCTAGGACACACAACAGGGCAGAGAAGGATCGAGAGGGATACAGAATACAGCCTGCGCAGTGTTTTGGTGGAATGCAGGGTAGGAGGTTGTGGGAAAGAGGCTGTACCAAAATTCCTGCCACACTTTAATTAATTAATTGCCTCCAAACAGTCATTGAGCTTTTCCTCTGCCAGGTGCTGGGGATACCAACAAAATTGACAGAGACTTTGTTCCTGAGAGGCTCATAAGCCATTGTGGTTCCTAATGTCAGATGATGGAGACTATGGGAGCCAGGGTGTCTGAGAGAGCTAGTGGAAGCTTCCCAAGGAGGTAGACATTGCTTTGTGCAGAAGATCTCCAAGCGAGGGAGAGAAGACAGTCAACACAGGGACTCGAAGGGGCAGGGTGCTGTCAGGGTGTGGCAGGGAAGACGTGAGGTTGGAATGAGGATGGGACAGAGTCTGATATCTGGACTCCATGAACCAGGCTGGAGTTTGGATATTATGCTTTGAGTGGGCAAGTGGGAGTTAACAGAGTTTTATGTAGGGTGTTACTTCTTCCAAAGGACGGGAGCGCTGATGCAGAATGCTTCCCCTAACACCTTTTCTTTTCCCAATCATTTCCCTCTCTACTTCTATTCCCCACTCACCACCTTTTTAGTGTTGTTGTTTCTGGTAGAGGAAAGCTCCAGGGCGAAGGGATTAATTAGGATGGATTTAATGTAGGGAAAAGAAAAAGAAACATTGTAGGTTTATAAAAAAATTCCACTTGGGTTGCCAGTAGGGCTTTAATTGGAGGGAGGTGGAAATACTGGGGATGCTGGCACAGAGACTAAAGTGCATAAGGAGCCAATGCTTTGTGGTCAGCCACAATAAAATAAGAATGAGGTATGATTTCATGACAACTTGAAAAGTTGTCTTAAAATACTATCCACATACCCTGATGTCTATTATTGTAGATGGCAACACAGCAAATGTTGAACAAGTGGAAACACAGACACGTACTCTCACACCACTTTTCCCACAAGATGATAGGCAAAGAGAAAACTCTTCAAGAGTTTGGGGAGAAAGTCCTTTATCCAATTAGTCCAACAGCCATCTTCTATCTGCACTTTTATTTTATACCCCCTTTACACCTGTTTAATTAATCCTAAACACGATGCTGACTGCTAATTAAACAGCCCTGAAAGTGACTGACTGAAGGTAGTAATTTGAGATAATTAGTTTTGGGTTCAAACACTCAATTTTCACACATTGTGCTCCTTTTTAGAAAGGGGTGGCTCATTATTATAGGCAGGGTGGGGGCTGTGTAAGGCATTTTACTAATGGACTCTGAGTAGCTCCTTGGCTACTGGACTCTGGCTAATCCTCTGTGAAAGGTAATTCAAGGAAAGTTAACAAAAGAACGATTCTTAAGGTGTGGGCACAGTGAAAGGAACCACCACATGACGAGGAAGCACTCAGGTACCAGCAGCAGTGGCAGGACCTGAAGGGACAGGGTAGAGAGTGGTCCCCGGAACCTGGCAAGAGCTTTAGCTGTGGATGAGGGTTTAGGTAGAGAAACACCAGGTTGGTGGGGAAGGAGATGGGGAAATCAGTGCTCTGACTCCTGTGGGACTCACCGAAAGCCTGAGGCAAGGGACCCAGGTGCTACAGTCCTAGAGCACTCCTAGGACATGCAGCAAGCAGGGCAGAGAAGGCATGGCAAGGAAAGATGCCATATCATTTGCTATAGAATGCTCCCCTATGCACACGTGCGCGTACACACACACACACAACACACACACCACACACACACACACGCCACATTCATCTTCACAGAATTCCTCCCAAACTGAAGGTCAAGCTGCTGAATATGTTTCATTGGAACACAGAAATGCACATGCTCTTGATCTTTGGGAAAGTTTTACCTAGTGAGGGGTAGCTCTCACTGAGTCATCTATTGTCTACTTCCAAGGTCCTCTAGAAGCAAGCAAAAAAAGGTGAAAAAGGCCAAGATTTGGTGTGTGGTTAGACATGTGGAGGTGTGTCCTTGCTGAGTAGTCATGTATTACAAAGGCACAAAGACTAATCAAGGGAATAGCCTGCTGAGACGTGGCCAGTGTATCTGGCAGAGAAAGCAAAGGAGGCAGGTCAGACTCGTTTTTTGTGGACCCACAGTGTTAACAAGCAAGTTAACTTGGTCCCACTAGGATATTAGGACCAGGAAGAATTGGGGTTACATAGGCTAACTCATTGTTATAGTCAATATAGAGAGATAGAGGTTGTACAGGAGCTGGATGGACCGTGCAGCACCCTGGAGAGCTCCAAGCACATTCTTTTACTTCTGCTTCCTTTGCAACTCGGGCTTGCTTTTTAAATCTTGAGAAGTTCAGTGTCACTTCACTGGCCACCATTATGGAGCAGGACTCTCTAGATCAAAGGAACCCAGATGTTGAGAGCTTTACACAGATGTGAAGAGGAGAATCAAAACCTTATATGGATTGGGAATCATTGGCCAGGGGGTGGTGGGTGAGGGTTGGATCCCAGAGTGTGCAGGCCTGTATGGGAAGATGGAACTGCAGGCTCTCTGACACCAGGGCACTGATATTGGCTGCAGGATCTGGTGGAGAGCAAAGTTAATTGTTTTATGTACGAGCCAAACTTGCATCTTCAGTTAAGCACCCTGAGTTAGGGCACCTTGTAGTCATTTTGGCCTCTGAACTTTCACACCTCAGCATGGTGGCAGAGGGGTGATGAGATACACAGTTGCACAGCTCACCCTCCCAAATTTCCTCTCTCCTTTTACTCTTTATAGTTTTCTTGGGTGAGCACACACTTTACCGCCTCCACTGTGTTTCCACCTTTCTTCATCTTCAGTCCCAAAGACACTCAAACTGCAGATCCTACAATATTATTGCCCACTATTTAGAGGCTTTCATTCATCTCCCAAGAATCTCAAAAGAGGCAAATCAAAAGTTAAACTTATTTTTTTTTGTCTGACAAATCTCCTTTTTAAAAAATATCTATCTTGGTAAACAGAAAATATCAGGGATCTTAGTGGCCAAAGTCATACAACTGAGAGTCATTGCACATTTATCCTCCTCACCTGCACCTTTCCTTGTCTTTCAGGTACATATAGGTTCTACACCTTTCCTTTCCCCCCTTCATCACCCAGCTTCTATCCAGCTTTGCAGTTTCATCTCGACAGTCCTGCCCTACTGCCCTACTTTCCTGCCATCTGAAAAGCTGCAGTCCCTGGGTCTGCCATGCCTTAGCCCACTCTGTGCCATTGGACATGCTGTTCCTGTGGCTGCAATGTCCTGTCCTGCCTTGTTGGCCAGATTCTCTGCATCTCCTGTACCCCCTCCGGACTTCATGTGCTTCCTTGTACTTCTTTAGCAACATGTTTTCTTCTGTGAGACTGAGAGTCCTCACTTGGATATATGAATGAATGTTACATTTTAAAAGTTTTTTAGGGGGAGATTTGTGGCATGTAGCTAATTTGTTACTCCGTTTGAATATAGTTAGGAGAAACGACCTAGGATTTCTAGTTTTGAAAATCTTCTAGCATTTCACCTCCTTTATATCAGGAAGTCTGCTTTCCCAAAGAAGTTATTGTATGGGTTTCTGTTTTGTAATGTTCTTTTGGGAAGCTGGAAAAATGTTTCTTATTAGAAGATACATGGTTTGCTATTCCCAAAACTTTTTGTGGTACTCAAATTTATATTAATAATCAGTGAATAGACTTGCAAAGCTATTTATCTCTTACATAAAAGGCCTGTGACCATGACACCGTCACATCATCACGCCATCGTGACCAAACAAGCAGTGGCTCTTGTAGCGGGCGGGGTGGGGCGCAAGCTACTAGTGGTGGGGAGCTACCAGCGGTGGAGAGCTACAAGGAGCAGAGGGCAAGGTGGCCAGCTGAGGCAAGCTGAAGTGAGCTACTTGTGCACGGTGCGCACTGGGCCTCTAGTTTAAAATAATTTATCAAAAATATAATCTTAAAACTGAAATATTAAGTGTACAAAAAAATCTCATATTAAAATCTGTTTTTCATTGTGTAGCCTTTCTGCCCTAAAGCTAAAACAGTGTCAGAGGTTGACCTTTTCTGATGCATGTCTACACCTTCACTGCTGCCTCATTTCTGCACAGATCTTATCACAGACAGAACAAAAAAGCAACAACAACAACAATAACAAGCATAAATATTTTGCCTTGCTTTCAGAAATAGTGGAATCTGAAGCAAAACTACATTTTTTTCTTGTTATTTAGAAATGTTCCTTCACTGCTGCCTCATTTCTGCACAGATCTTATCACCTACAGAACAAAAAAGCAACAACAACAACAACAAGCACAAATATTTTGCCTTGCTTTCAGAAACAATGGAATCTGAAGCAAAACTACATTCTTTCTTGCTGCTTAGAAATGTACTTTGAAAGAAAGTGAGCCTACAGACCAATGTAAAAGACTTTCTAATTACATTGTTGCTCATAAAACCTTACTTCAGCTTCAGGTTGCTGTATCTAGGTTTCTGATATAGTGTTGGCTGTCCAGTCTCTTGTGACAATCCATCATTCCGGATGATTCCTCATGGGTTGAAATGACCTGTCCTTTGTTTTGCAGATACCTCAAATCAGCTATGCATCCACAGCCCCTGAGCTAAGTGACAACACCAGGTATGACTTCTTCTCTAGGGTGGTCCCGCCTGACTCCTACCAAGCACAAGCCATGGTGGACATTGTGACGGCCCTGGGGTGGAATTATGTTTCGACACTGGCTTCTGAGGGCAACTATGGAGAGAGCGGTGTGGAGGCGTTCACTCAGATTTCGAGGGAGATTGGTAAGCATTTATTTATTGGTGATTGTGTTTGGAGGTGACAGGTTGCGGGAGTCCTTTCACCTCCAAGCACTTTGTGATCTGTATGGAGTAATTAGAGCTCCTACGGATGCGTGACCTGGGCTGTCCATTCGAGGGAGAAGCTGGGTTTATTATAAATGTTTGTGTTGTTCATGGCCCATCAAGGTGACACTTCGGTGCTAATTCAGGAATTAGAGCTTCTGACTCAGGCAGACATTTTTAAAAGTTGTCTGTTTTGACAAGGGAGTTTGCTGGCGCAGAAGAGCCACTGTAAATTTGAATAAATGACATACTTTCTGATTGTTCTAGATGGAAGTTTACATTACCAAGTCATTAAATTAAAAAAAAAGGCAGTGGAATTTACATCGAACTCTAGAGGGATTAAGACTGGTAATCATTTTAAAACAATACTGAAGGAGCCCCCAAGGCTATGCTTCAGCGATATTGTGATTGTCATATTTGACTTCTTGCATTTTTAGTCTTACCTTAAACACTGAAGCTTACAGTGGGATGAAGGGCAAACTGTAAAAACGTGGGTTAGAACAAGGTGCTGATGAACTCCATTCTGGGTTTTTTCAAGGTGCTTATCCAAATCTCTACAGGCGTCTCACCAGGTGCATGTTTACTTATGAGGTTGTAAATCCATTCCACTATGTAGGAAAGAAGCAGAGCAACACAAAACACGCTTAGAGGACAAACCTTATTGCTGATTGGTCAATAACACAACTTCGTCGTTGAAGGGAGATATATTACTGTTACTTAACAAATACTCTTAAGAACTACTGAATAAAATTTACATATTTTTTCCTGTAAGCGTAATATTTTGTGGAAAAAGGAAAGTGCCTATTGGTGATTTTGAACTTGAGAGAAGAAACTATGTTGATAATTTCTTGTCTTTCTTGGAGACTTCAACTCAGGAAAAGATCATGGGAGTGATTTGGACTTATCCATAATTAGCAAGGACAAAGGGTTGTTGGAATAATTTATTGGAATAAGGTCTTCTCTTGAAAGATTTGCAGATGCCTGGGATCTGTTTTGCATATAATAGGGCATGAAGATTTATTTTACACATTATTTGGTATGTTTATAATTTGTTCCAGTACCGTGTTGCTGCATAAGGGCTAGAAAAGGCAAAAAGGCCTGGTGTTGCTGGACAGATTGGATTCACTGATTTAATCAGCCAACTATTCACACCTGTTGTTAAGTGTCCACGGTGCCATAATGTTTGCTCTTTGGAATTTAAAATTATATCATTATTGCTATAAAAATGATTCAAAACACTTTAAATGCTGGCAAGTTATATTACCTTCTTGGATAAGAATGCCAAGTTTGTCTTTAGAGGAAATGCTCACTAAAATGAAAATAATAGCTTCTGGAATTAGGATTAATGCATTATTTATGTAGCGGATGTCGGTTCTCACCAGAATGGTAATTCCACAAGAGAAAGGAAACTAATAGAGTATGTATTGAAATTTGAAGTCTTCTGTGGCGATCCTATGTACTCTTCAACTATAGGACACATTTTGTGTGCATGAAACAGATGACTATGAAAAATTAAATACGGGACACAATCTCCCAATTGTTGGAGAATCTGATAGAATGCATTGTTCTAAAAGTTAAGTGAGATTGTAGTTTTATTCTTTTGACTAAAAAAAGCAATACTAGTTTCAGTTTTTATAGAGCATTGCTAACTTTGGTAACATTGTCACATCAAAGGATTCAGATGGTGCCATTCATTATTCCCATTTCTATCTTAGTCATTATTATAGGAGAAAACAATTTTAGTGCCTTGTGTATGCTCCTGATGAGTGCAATGTGTTTCTTCTGTGTCGATCTTTTCAGTATTCTGAGACTTGATTGGCTGTCCATTCTATTTCCATTCTCACTTATCTGGGGATGGAGGAAGGCTGGATTGTCAATTAATATGCAGAATGCTGAAAAGGCCAAATTAGTATCACACTAGAGTATGCCATGGAATATATTAAATATCAAAATCATTCCTCATTTTAATGACAAAGATTTTATCTAGAACAGAAATAGCTAAAAATGAAACCTTTTACATGACAATGATATTAATGGGGTTGGCAAATGGTAGCAACTTAACCCATTCTGAAGTGAACTGATGGCTCTAATGAAAATTCATTAGTTCTGTAACATTTGCTTCTCTTACTATAATATCAGTGACATCTTTGTCACCATGTTAATAGTGTGTTTTCAAAAATTTTAGTGTCTTGACTTAGGAGTCAAGTAATAAATTTATTTTCTGGGGCGTCTGCCTATTAATAAAATTATGTATTTTCCCAACTCTTATAAATTTTCCTGTACTCTGTTCTGAATTTCTCCCTTCAGCAACATTCATTACTAAGAAATTTCAATGTAAATTGAGGCTTCCTATGTTTTAGCTCTGATTAATTTAGACAAATCATGGAATATAGTGAAATGAAAATCTGTTTAGTGATAAATTGCTTGTATGGTTTGATTAGAACATTTTTCATTTTGACACAACCTGAGACTTGGGCACGGGTCTTTCCTGAATCTTGAACGAAGTTATGAGTAAGTGATGGTCATGAACAGAGAAGCCAGTGATGGTTCTTCTCTAGTCAAGATCCTTCTGAGGGAGACAGGGACAGGAGCTATTTGACCAAATAAAGACAAATAGCATCTTGGTATCCTAGCTGTTATAGTCTCCCCCCAATGAATCCTTTACTGTAGGATTTTCACTGAAGAAGGCAACAAAATATATTTGAGATCAGCAAATAGCACAATTTGACTGAAGCATAGTTTGTGTAGTGAGGTATGGGAGACACAATAAGAAGGCTTGACATGGACACCTAGTTGAGTATTTCATCCCATAGGGTGGTAATTTTATCTTTTATGTGCCAGACGATGGAGGACAATGCTGAGGAGCCAGGGGTCTATCAGGATGTGTAGTTAAGATTGTGCAAATGAGAAGTGGAAGATAAGGGGACCAGCTGAGAGACCACTGCAATATCAGTCTCAGTCTGCTAAGTAGGAGAAATGGGGAGATGCTGGGCAAAGCATATAAACTTTCAGTTATGTAGGAGATGTAATGTACAGAATTGTCACTAGAGTTAATTATTAAGAGAGTTGATTTAAGTGTTCTCACCACGCACACACAAAATAGTAACTGTGTGAGGTGATGGATATGTTAACTAGTTTGATTGTGGTAATCACTTCACATTGTTTATGTATATCAAAATGTCATGTTGTACACCTTATATTTATGCAATATTGTTGTCAATTATACCTCAACAAAGCTGGAAAAAATAAAATTGGTATAAATGAAAAAATAAAAAAGGCATGGGAATAATGGCCAAGACTTAGCAATGGAAAGCAAAAGAGGGTGGCAGAGTGTTCTCTTCTCTTTTTAAAAAATCCTCACCTGAGGATATTTTTTCCACTAATTTTTTTTTTGAGAGAGTGTAAGGGAGGGAGGGGAGGAGGAAGGGTGAGAGAGAGCAAGAGAGTGAGAGAGTCATCAATGTAAGAGAGACACATCGATTGGTTGCCTTCCACATGAGCCCTGACAGAGGCTGGGGATCAAACCCTTGACTGAGGTACATGCCCTTGACCGGGAATCGAACCCTGGACACTCTAACTACTGAATAACACCGGCTAAGGCAAGTGTTCTTTTCACTTGATGAGTTTATGGCCATGGAAAGGCCCTCAGTCCCCTTGAAAAATATTTTCATGATGGGAGATGGTAGGAGTTCTTGTGGAAAAATTCAAGGATATCGAGCAGATTTTCATAAGAGAACAGGAACTTTTATGAGCGGAATAGCTGAATGTGTGTGTGGTACAGAGAATCAAGTAGTGTCATTGTGAGGGGGTATATTAGTTCCCTAGTGCTGCCATAACAACATACCAAAACCCAACAGAAATGTATGGTCTTAGTGCTGGAGGCTAGAAATTTGAAGTCACAGTGTCAGCAGGGCCATGCTGCTTCTGAAAATTGTAGAGCAGAATTCTTCTTTGCCTCTTATAGCTTCTGGTGTTTGCTATTAATCCTTGGTATTTATTGGCTTGTAGACACATCACTCCAACCTCTGCCTATGTCATCACATTTCTCCCTTCTCCATTCTTATGTATTCTCTTGTAAGGATGCCAGTCATGTTGGATTAAAGACCCATCCTACTCTAGCATGACCTCATCTTAACTAATTACATCTGTGGTGAACCTCTTTCCATATAAGGTCACATGCTGAGGTACTGGGGTTAAGATATCAGCATATCTTGTTGGGAGACACACTTTAATACCCATTAACAGGGGGCAATAGTGAAGAAGGGTGTACTTAGGGAGATAATTTCCAGTGACAGGGGTGGGAGTTAGACCAGAAGGACAAGAGGCTAGCAATAAAGATGAGACCAAATTTTGTTAATGGAGAAGCCTGTAATATAACTAGTTCTAAAGTTCCTTTGGCATGTTACAGAATTCTACTCTCCCAATCCTGACTACATGGGTAGACTGGGTTATCTAATGGATAATTCAGGGTTCCAGGCTGGGGAAAGTGGTGGGATCCTAGTGTCTGACTTTCCCAGGATCCTAGGTAGTCAAGAGCTTCCCAGTAGGACCGCAATGGGCACTTCCTGTATGGTGGTGCACTGGCTCTTCAAACCCCCTGTCTTGTGTAATTCCAAGATGCTGTGCCTTTTGATGACACTTGGAAAATTATGGACATCCAGAGTTCTTTCTGGCCTAATTTATCTTTATGTGCCACTTTGGTTTCTTTTGGCTTGAGGGAAGGATAGAGCTTAGTTGCTGAGGCTTGTTAAGACTTAGCTATCACCCATCTTTCACACCCTCAGTTGTTAGGACCATAGTCCAATATTTATGTCTGATTTTAATGATCTGGTGTGATGTTTTCCTTGGCATTGTCATAAAGAGGTTGCTAATATAGACTCATGCTTTTCCATCCTAAGCTCTGGGGCTCGTAGTTTGTGACTCAGGCAATGACTTCCTTG